AATCAATTTCCATTAATTTTACATTATTATTTTTAAAACTAGTTTCTAAACAAATTATTTAAGAAGCAGTAGTAACTCCAGCCAAATTTGCGTATAAAGTTGATTCCTATTTATGTTATTAGGTATCTTAGATACTTGAGGGGATTTGTGAGGAAATTAAATTGACAAATGATGAGAAAAAGTAGAGTCCTATATTTTAAGTCTTCAGTAAAAAAGTAATGTGAATCTTTTTTATTGGTGTCTATAACTGTCTATCAACAGTAAGCATAAGATAGAAAACACTGTCACAAAGAAACCTGAGCACGATGCTGAGAATAAAAGCATTACCTTTGGCACACTTTTCATCCCTTATTTATCTTCCCCCCACAAATACCAAACATTCAAGCAGTTTCCTGGCCTTACTGCAGTTCCCATTGCATGGCCCCACTCTCCTCCAGCCTTGCTATGATCTATGCTATGATAGATAGTGTTCCCAGCACCCTCTCTCCTAATCAAAAATTACTGTTCTATGCCCAAGGTCCTTCTTGGTTCAGTGTTACAAGTGAAGTTGTGACTGCTTGAGAAGAGCATAATTTATTACCTCTCCAAGAATATTTTCATTTTAATAAAAAAAAACTAACCTAAATGACTGGATAACTAATGGTGAGACTGAAGACACAGAGAGCAAAACAGGAAGTAGAGTGATTTTCAGTGTTTTGCAAACCATGTCTTATATGTTATCTATTCTCTCATTTCCTACGTTGTTGAAGACAGTAAGAAATTCAGGAGAAAAAAATTCCTCTTCTGGTGAAGTGCTCAATGTACAAAGAATTGATGAACTGTAACTGCTCCTGGAGAGTAAAACTAAACTGAGAAGAAGAGAGGATAAAGAAAACAGGAATATTATTTATAAAATAGCAAAATATTAACAATTATAGAATATATTTTGTTTTGCAATAGTGATTTTGTTTCTTTGTGGGTGGACTTGAGTTCAGAGAATGAAGAGAGGCCATAGAAATATGAAGATACTGGGTTATAGTGTATGTCCACATTATTTCTAGCATAAAAACAAAGATCTAAAAGTTGTGGAGAAAAATATTATGATGCCTTTATAAATTTGCCTAATTTTGATTCTACTTGTTTGGTTTTTTTCCCTTATAGATTTTGTGATTTCAGAACATATTTGAGAGAACAAAGACACATTGAAAGTCAGAAAGAATTTACACAGAGAGGGAGGTGGTAAAATACTTCTCAGAATATAAGCATGGCAAAACTCACAAAAATCAAAGAGTTTCCAAAAGGAATTATACTCTACTTTGGAATGTTTTAAGTGTTCATTGTAAAGTGTGTTGTTTTGCTTACAGTATATTTTGCTTCATATATTAGAAAACAGAATGGCAGTAGAAAAAAAAACAGAAGGCGGGAGCAGAAGAGAAAATCATAATTGTTAATAGTCCACAAAATGCCTGATTCATACATAAGTCATTAAGAATTAATTATGACCTTATTGAACATAGTTCTCATACATTGTCTTCTAGCCAGTTGATAATGTGGCTCTACACAACAGAAGGAAACTCAACTTTAAATGAAAAAAGCATTTTTTCTTAGATTAAGAGGGTACATATATCAATAAATGAAGAACAGGAAATTTTGCAAACATTTGCAGAAAAATTAGCACTTGGAATTAAGATAGGCATTTTCTGGTTAGACTTTATATTATACAAGACTGGCCTATGAATTTCCCCTGAGTTTCTTCACATAATAGTAATTAATTATAATATATACTGATAATCTTACTATAATATAATTTTAGATGCACTTGACTTAAAAATATGTGCTTTTGGGGCACTTGGCTGGCTCAGTCAATAGAGCATTCAACTTTTGATCTCAGGGTTGCAAGTTGGAAGCTCATGTTGGGTGCAGAGATTACGTAAAATTAAACTCTTTAAGAAAAAAAAAAAAAGATGCTTTTCTTTCCAAACCATTTGCATATACATTTTTGTGATATATGTGAAAGGCACACATTTAGGCATTCATTTATTATGAATGAAGAAAATTAACCTTGAAATACAGAATGTTATGCTCACAGTGATATGGTAGGTATCTTCAATTTAGGTGATAAATGTGCAAACTCAAACAACTCAGTTTTTATTACATTCTGTATTAGAATCAGTTTCCTAACTTACATCTTAATATCATATTTTATTTGTGAAAAATAAATGTGTTTTGCCTGCATCCAACATTATTAGGAAATACCAGGGCTAGCAGGCCTTTTTAATTTGCCATCACAATTTATAATGTTAAGAGAGTCCCAGTGGCCCCTCTACCTTATTTCTAAATGTCTACTTGCAACAGAATAGACAAAATTCAAAATTTTGACTTTTAAACAAGGTTTTCTCAGATAATACCATCTATAATTGAAAACACAGATGTTTCTTTTTATCTTAATTTAAGTCTAGGATTGAGATAGTCAATGTTTGTTATGTGCTTAGAAATGTGGAATTAAAGTCATTGTATTTACCTACTGTCTATATTGGACTTAGACAATGCTACTATTTATCACTATTTTGAGACCTTGGCCCTTATAAGACAGCAACTATGATAAAATTATAAGACTTGCCTAATTCTCCTCCTTCTTATTTTCTCCCCATGTGAAATGTATAAAGAAACATTTATTAATAAAGGGGTGTGTGAAGATTGAACACTAGTAGCTTATTTAGGAGGCAGCATCTTTAAAAATCCTGGGAAAAAATGTATAGTGCAAACTATTAGAATTTTGCTTGTTTCCAATTATACCTTTTTTACACTAAAATATTATAATTGTTATGACAGTTTTAAAAAGCTGTAACTTTTTTAAAACAAATTTTATTTTATACTAGAGCCATGGATTCATGGCTATACCACATTTGAAAAAAGGAAAGAATCAATAATATTATATAAATGGGAAATGTGTAAATATTTACACAGAAATAATGGAAACCAAGTTGCAAAACCCTTGTATAGTGGTTAACATCATAAGGAGAAGAAATATGAGAGAAATAATCATGCATGAAGTTAAAAATATATCAAAATAAAAACCAAATATGTGGTTATTGTTTTGTTTATCCACTAGTTAATTCTTCCATTTGCTCAAATTTACTGAGTAGTTAATATACAGAGATCATTAGATTTGGTACAATGTAGATTAGCAATAAAGGCATCAAAGTAAATAAACTGAAGCTTTACTATCTATGAATAATATAAACATGTGGAAAATTAAAAGGTGGTGATATACTTCTAATACATTCCCTTAAGAAATTATGAATAAAGAGGGGGCTCCTGAGTGGCTGTCGGTTAAGCGTCCAACTTTGGCTCAGGTCATTATCTCAGGTTTGTGAGGTCAAGCCCTGCATTGGGTTCTTTGACGTTAGCACAGAACCCACTTCAGATAATCTGTCCCCCTTTTTCCCTCCCCTTATCCCCCACTCTCTCTCTCTCAAAAATAAATAAATATTAAAAAAAGAAATTATAAATAAATAGTTTTTGTTATTCACTCAAGAAAGTAGTATTTCTACTATGTGCAAGATCAGGTGTTAAAAATATTAAAGCATGACCTGCCCCCACCACAGCCAACAAGTAGAGAACCTTATTATCTAAACTATTAATTAAAATACACACACACACACACACACACACACACACACACACACCCAGGTTTACATGAGACCTTTTAACAAAGTGTGGTGTGTCATTTGTGCCTTGTATGAATGTGGGAGTGTAAGTTGTCTAAGACAAACTTCACAAAGGATGTAGACTTATATATGAATCAAGGGAATTTATCAATACATCAGGGACAGGAATCATGAGAGTTAATGTATCAAGGACAGGAATGAGGAAGAACATGAACAAAGAATAAAAGTATGGGTTATATGGTGGAATTATATGGTATATGAAGTAAAATATGTGTCTCATAAAATAATGCATTACAGAAAAACTAAATAATCTTTTGTGCTCAGATGGATGTGTACCCAATCCAAACAATGCATATGTAAAGTTAAACAGATTTATCTAAATAACTGGATTGAAAACAATTAGAAAAGATCTGTAATTCATTCAAAAAAGCAGATTTTGTTTTCATTCAGAATTAGTTAATTAACAATTATGCCAAAGTGTTTTTTTTTTTTATTTTTTTAATTTTATTATTATTTTTTTAACATTTTTAATGCTTATATATTTTTGAGAGAGAGAGAGAGACCAAGAGCGAGTGGGGCAGGGGCAAAGAGAGAGACACATAGAATCCAAAGCGGGCTCCAGGCTCTGAGCTGTCAGCACAGAGCCTGCCATGGAGCTGAAACTCACAAACTGCAAGATCATGACCTGAGTGGAAGTCAGAAGCTTAATGGACTGAGCCACCCAGGCACCCCACCAAAGTGTTTTTTAAATGTTCATCTTTTAGATTCGTAAAACTTTTTGCTGTTAGGGGTTTATAAGTGTGCAAACAATAGGAAGAACTACTAAGTATGATTTTTTTTCAAAGTTTACTATACTTCAAAAATTTTAATCATTCTTTATAGTTAAGTAGAACATTTTGATTAAAATATTTAGAGATTTGGGGTGCCTGGGAGGCTCAGTCAGTTAAGCGCCTGACTCTTGACTTCCGCTCTGGTCAGGATCTCACGACTGGTGGGATCATGCTCCATGTCAGGCTTTGCGCTGACAGCATGGAGCCTGCTTGGGAATCTGTCTCTCTCTCTGTCCTTCCCCACTTGGGCACAAGTTTGCACATATGTGAGCGCTTTCTCTCTCTCTTGTAAAAGTAAATAAATAAACTTAAAAGATTTAGAGAACTAAAAAAAAAAAGATTTAGAGAGCTAATGGCTTGATTTTGGGAAGTTGTTTGACCTACTTCACTTAATAGCATTAATTACATAATATAAAAAGATATCATATTTTGTACATGGCAAATCCTCAAATATTTGTTTTGCATTTTTAATAACACTTCAATTAGAGCATGAATAGTAAAAAATATAAATAATACATACCAAAAAATTGATAGCAGATATTGTGACTTGCCGGTTTCCAAATGCTAGAAAGTAGGAAAAGAAGATGTAATGCATGCATTCACATTTTGGATTGTCTTGCTATAAACATAATTGAAGCAGTGTTTATTGGATATTACTATCCTCTAATCCAAAGTACTATGCTGTATATAATTGACCTTTTGGGGTAATACATTTGAAGTTTAAAAGAATGAAATATTTTTGCTTTCCACATGAACTCCTCTTCTAGTTACCTAATGATATTTAGAATACAAATGGAATCTACTTTTAATTGGTATTATAAAATTCTTTGAAGGCAGATTTAATTTCTCATTTGTCACTTTAAAAGCACATCATTGATGTATGTGTGTTTCTGTGCCAGTACCATACTGTCTTGATGACTACAGCTTTGTAATCTAGCTTAAAATCTGGAATCATGATGTCTCCAGTTTGGTTTTCATTTTCAGGATTGTTTTAGCTATTCAGAGTCTTTGTGGTTCCATTCAGATTTTAGGATTGTTTGTTCTAGTTTGTTCTGTGAAAAATGCTGGTGGTATCTTGATAGGAATTTCATTAAATGTGCAGATTGCTTTAGGTAGTATAGGCATTTTAAAAATATTTGTTCTTCTAATCCATGAGCATGGAATGTTTTTCCATTTCTTTGTGTCCTCTTCAAAATCTTTTGTAAGTATTCTATGGTTTTCAGAGTACAGATCTTTTACCCTTTTAGTCAGAATGTATTATGCCAAGCGAAGTAAGTCAATCAGAGAAAAACAAATGTCATATGATTTCACTCATATGTGGAATTTAAGAAACAAAACAGATCAACATATAATAAGGGGGGAAGAGAAGAAAGGGAAACAAACTACAAGGAACTCAATGATAGAGAACAAACTGAGGGTTGACAGAGGGAGGTGGGTGGGAGATGGGCTAGATGGTTAAAGGGTATTAAAAAGGGCACTTGTGATGAGCACTGGGTATTGTGTGTAAGTGATGAATTACTGAATTTTACTTCTCAAACCAGTATTGCACTGTATATTAACTAAAATTTAAATGAAAAGAAAAGGAAAATGATTCCTTTATAAATAAATAAATACATACATATCATACGGCCTAATATATGATTGCATTTGATCATATGTCTTGTTTTTTAATGTTTAACAACAAAAAGAGACATGCTAATAATAATTTTTTTCATTGATGTTTTAGAATAGGTAATATTTTAAGTATTTTATATTTATCATCTAGAAACAAATATATGAGGTAAGATTTAATGTTCTCATCTTAAAGAAAAATATAGATTATATCAGTTCCCAAATCATATATGAGTAATTAATAAATTAGAATTTAAGATAGTATCTTAAAGTCACCTTTCTGATGGCAGAAAAGTTGTAATATAAAAAAGTACTAAAAATAAAATTTTCTGATAAGCTCATCAGCTGTATTAATAGTTGCATTTTTTTCTAGATTTATGTGAGGGTGTGTACATATAAATTGTATTTATGTAAACATATTTACAAATAAAAAATATAATGTCTCATTTTAAATCTTGCATATTTTATAAGGATATATTTAAAGACTTTTCCAATACTATTAAGCATTCATTGTAAAAGCTATGACAGCATATGCATTATAATGTGTAATATGGCTAGCTCTAAACATTAAATATTATCTAATTGCTGCATAATTAGTGTAACTTTAATTTTATGTATGATAAGTAATACAACTTCAAACATCTTTCTTTGTAAGACATTTATAGAAGTTCTATTTCCATGGGCTAGAAATTTGAAAGTATAATATAGTCAAAAGTTATGTAAGTATTTATGTATGAATATATATATGTGTATATTCATATATAAAACATGTATAATTATTGGAGATTTTGTTTTTATAAAGTACATGTATCTAATTATGAAATAAAATACATTAATGGAGAAAATTTGGGAAATAGATAAAAGTACAAAGAGAAATAAAATGCATAAAAATCCCATTATCCATTGTAAATCTATTAAAATTCAGATTTTCCCTTGGAAATATACATATTTTCTCTATACTTTTTATAATATGTGATAAAACATTCTTATAATCAATTATTCTTTAATATCTCTTTGCCATATAACTAAGCACATTTACCATATAATTAAACATTCTTCTATAGCTAAATCAAAATATTTTTTTTATTTGTACCTACTATTAGACAAAACTTTATTCATTCAACAATACTTATTAAGAATTTATATGATAGGCACTATACTATGTACTTGTGATAAATCAATTAAACTTAAGCCAAAAGCAACTCTTATCTTAATAAAAATTATTGTCTGACAAGGAAACAAATAATAATCACAAGATAACAAATGGAAGCTTGCAATCCTGGTAAGTGTTACTAAGAAAGACCTATATAGTATTTAATGTAAGAGCTAAAATGAAGGATTTATTTTAATCGAGGAGATCAGGAAGGACTGAGTACATGTTTGCACTCTGATTTAGAAAATGAATAGATACTAACATACACAAGAGAGGGGTTCAGAACATGTCATGTATCAGGACAGTGAAGATATACCTTGTTTTCATTTTTTAATGAGAAAAAATAACTGTATGATTAAAACAGGTACTGGGACAGAGAATATAATTTTTAAATATTTTAAATGTTTATTTCCAGTAAGCAAACTTACAGATGGTATAACTTGAAACAAACTTTCCAGAAAAAAATCTAGCCATTATTAAAATTTTCTGTAATATTTTTATAATTTTTATAATATTTCACATTTAGAATTTTTACAAAGGCCATTTTTCCTTGCTAGCTGCTGATACTAAACATATGTATTGAATTTTCTGAACATATGCATACAGTTTGCAGTTAATGGAATATGCCTGCCATTGGGCAGTTTTTAATTATGACAGTTTTTTTCCTATTTACTTTTAAGTATTTTTGAGAAGTAAGAAAAATGACCTCCTTAATGGTATATGTGTCAGAAATACATAATAATATGTTGTGTTTTATTTAATGTGTGTAAATGTACAGATGCCATTAATTTTATGCAGTCAAATTTGTTGAGAATAGGGCTTCTCTTGATATTCTCAAGGTATTCTCATGATATTCTCATGAAAATATTCTCATGATATTCACTTTCCAGCTGGGATCAGCATTATAGGGCTATATATATGTTCACGGAATTTGATTCCTACTTACACCTTATGCATTTGAGAGTCTTGAGCCAGTAAAATTAGACTTTCAGGGTCTCATTTTCCTAATTTATAATAGGGACTATTAACACATCATAATGTTTCTTAATGGCATTTTTACATTTCTTGACAAGCATTTCCTTTTCAATAAATACTTTACATATGTTAATACCAATCAGCCTCTATTTTTATCACATATGTGAATGTAACATTTTTCAGAGCCTCCTCTTCTTAAATATACTATGGAGCAAAAGTATCTATCTGTTAATGTTCTAAAGTTAGTAGGTAAATATTCTGATAGCATACCTTTAAGTATCAGAGTTATAAGATGTTAGGAAATTTCTTTCTTCAATATTCATAGTCGCTAGTATTTAGAAGAATTAAAGTTTTGAACATTGCAATGATACACTCTTAGCAAGCTCGACTAGATTTCTTGATCTTAACAAAGATTCTGTGTTGGTACTTCAAGTATATATTAAGACAGTTTAACTGATTTTGTAAAATCTGAAATGAAGCTTGAATACTCTATTCATTTCTATTTATTTCAAACTTTAAAAACACCAGAAATAGATCACAAAAAATAATTATCAATTAAATTTGAAACCTCAGCCCTTTCTCACTAGAACCCCGTGTGTGCCTTGTGAGCTGCAGTAAAAGCTGAGGAGAGAAAAGTCCAGAGTAAATAAAAGAAATGGAATTCTTTGTTCGGTACAGCTATTTCCCTCCAGTTTTAGGAACTGAGAATTTAGGTTTGGTCCATTGTGCTTTCCACCAAATTGCTTCAGCTGAGTCAATGGCCAGGATATTTTATAAAGTTATAAATAGAAAATAGTATGTTAAAGAAACAAATTGCTTCTTACTGAATTATATTTAATATTTTAACTACATATTTATATTAATTGTTTATTTTTTAAATCCTGATAGTTGATTTCATGTGATTGTGTGATGATACAGAATTTTTCTTTTTAATTTTCACCCTTTCATTTTTACTATCTGTCACTTTGGAGATTTACAACCAACTCATATATTTGTTAGAGTTCCTATGGAAAGAAAATAAACCAATGTCAAAATGGTCTTTAAGCATACATAAAAATTTAATGGAGCATTATACAGAAGCAACTTAAAATTCACATTTTTTTCATTATTTGCTTATTTTTTTTTTTAATTTTTTTTTTCATCGTTTATTTATTTTTGGGACAGAGAGAGACAGAGCATGAACGGGGGAG